ATATCTTTATTCTTTCACAGTCGTCTCTGCTTGAGTATCACCGTTCTCAGCGTTAACGGTCATCTTCGATGATTTCGATACTTCGTTAAAAACCAGGAGCATTGGTAGACCTCCCATGACCATGCACGTTCCCATGCAGAGAAAACATACGCTGTAACTTCCAGTTACATCACGTAGGTAACCTGCAATCATTTCCCTCAAATAATAGACGCTGACAACCAATCTTTCTACGCAGATGCGATACGGTACACCTCAGCCCACTACCACCATGCAGAATCATACACCTTCGGACTCATCAGTTACAGTCAACCCACCGAAACACCTTAACAATCTAATCGTACGAGTGCGCCAAGTACCTGCTAAAGGCGGAATAGAAATAGCTCCGACACTTTGGAACATCCTAACGAGACCGTAGGTTGAAGATATTTTGTCGGTGCCGTATTGGTCAGCGAGAAGGACGGGAACTAAGAGAAACCAACAACCCAGGCAAAGTCCGTACATGCCAACGGAACACGCCAGCACGTAGAAAGAGTGGGCCATCGGAATCGCCAATACAGCCACACCAGCACCCACGACACTGTCAACAGAGACCAGGACAAATCTATAATACAACTCATCATCGCGTATACGCGCAGTCTTTCATCTAATTTCATCGAGTTTGCCTTTAGAAAACTAGCTCTCTCTCATCTCCATTCAGCCAAAAATAAAATCCAGGCTTTCGTTTAGCCGATGAAATTAGATGAAGTTCTCCTGTCTTAATCGAATACCTTCCAATGTATCCTTTCCGTCGATCGAACAACTGCAGGTCGGAGAGCCAGCCGAGTCCGAGTCTGCCGCACAAGTCGAGAGCAGCAGAAATGGCGACCAGGTATCCCGCTTCCGATTTCGTGTAGCCAGCCGCGTGCACGTACGCCGGAAGATAATACAGCATGTATGGGCTTCCAGTGGACATCAGGGTAACCGAGAAGCACATCATGATGAACTGGGGATTCTTCAACAGAGAGAGATCGATATACTGCATTATCCTCTGCACGATGGTCTTCCTGCGCGACAGTTCCTCCGGTACTTGGGCCTCGCTTTGAGGGGGCGGGCAGACGGCGGTGATCGAGGATCTCAGGGATCTCAGCGACGACCTGGCTTTGTAGACGCACGTGGAATCGGTCGACAGATCCTCGACGCTGTGCAATATACTCGAGCTACGTATCTTCGAGATCGGCTTCATCCTGAGACATTCGCCGATCACGTCCTTCTCCTCCTCGCTGTCGGTCAGCTCGACCGCGACCACGCCGTTCTGATGGAACAACTCGTTTAACAGATTATGCTTGGTAGTCGAGTCGTGGTTGGCGAATATTAGATCCAGCTTCTGCTGCTTCGCCGCCTCCAGCTCTTTCGCGGTGGCGTTGTCGACCTTCTCAGACCTCACGACGACGTCCGCGGCTTCGGGAGCGTAATTGTTCTCGAGCGGCCGGTACAGGGTCGCGCTCACGCAAACGTGAAGCATGCAACCGCCCAGCAGGAGAATCGTTCCGTGGAAACCGAAGTTCTGCACCAGAACCTCGATCAGAAGCGGGAACACGAAGCTGCCCGCCGCCGTACCGGAAACGCAGATCCCGTTCGCCAGGGCGCGGTGCTTATCGAAGTATTGTGAGACAAGGATGATGCCAGGTGTCGTCGACAGACCGCCACCGATACCTAATTCCACGAATCGTCAATAAAATCTTGCAAATCCCTTCGAAAGGATTTCGTTGCCTCGAGGAGTTCGCGGCGTTACGCAATCATTACCGCGGAGGACACGTCGGGGTAATATTTTCGAGAGCTCTCGACCGCCTCAATAATCATTACGTAACGCCTGACGCTTCCGTGCGGGCTATCAGATTTCGATAAACGCTAAACGGAAACATGAAATTCTCGTTAACACGTTCACTGCGTTCATATTTCTTCGTATCCGGATCGCGGATATTTATAGGAATTCAGATTCTGAACTGTTCCACTGGAACGTTTGCCGTCTTACAAGCAGGAGGAAAACGCAATTGCGGACGATTAAAATTTGTATTTCCACGCGTTCCGCTTCTCATTGTTCGTCGCGAGAGCGCAATATCCTCGGCTCGATTATTCGACGCGCGTTAACGTATTATCGGATCCGTATGCGCTTCCTGTAACGCAGCGAACGTGTTCAAGCAGAGACAGCCGAGTGTGTATGGAGCAATTAGTTGCAACATCCTGCCCGATTTTCCGTTTCCAATCGTTCGTGTCCAGTTCCGTTACGTAACTCTCCTCGTTACAGAGATATACGTGCGAAATGTATATACAGGACAAGTCGACTAGGACGTTACGAAACGCACGGTTGCATTATTAGGAGCACTTTAACAAACCTGTTAGGATTCCAAAAGTAAAAAAGAGGTGTATCAAACTCGTGGCAAAGTAACTTATAGTAAGTCCCAGGGCGCAGAACAGTCCCCCGATGAAGACGACTGCCCGACAGCTGTACTTTTGGCAGAGCATGCTCGTCACAGGAGCTAGAATATCGAACAAGGCATTGAATCTATCGGCGACCCGCCGATTTCCAGACCGAGATCGAACATTCTCGGATCGCGACGCATCCCTTATCGACGAGGCCGCGAACGGGTAGACGAGAAACCCTTATTGCCGCGAGCCACGCACGATCCGGCGATTTACATGTAAAACTGGTGACCCAGATACGGGGCCGAAGGACAGGGAACGCGTCAAAGTCTGGCGAAAACGTTTCCGGATCTATTTGCCGCGAGCCGAACGCGTTATCAGCTCCGTTCACCCGATCGATCTCGGAGCCGCGCGACCAGCCGAGGATTACTCACCGAGCGCCAAACAGAGGCAAGACAAAATAGCTGGTATCCAGGAGGCGACGGAGGCCGTGGCGTCCTTGAACGTCTCCATGACCTCTACGTAGAGGACACCGTAGGACTTGACCAGACCGGCCACCCAGAACTGAACGAAGAACGCCCCGAAGACGATCACCCATCCGTAGCCGCCGTCCAACGGGACGTAGGTGATGTTCCTCGGCTTCTTCGGCTCGCTCCTCTTCTTCTTCTTGGTGGCGGAGCACCTGGTCGATCGGAGCTCGCGGGACTTGGCTATCAACGGCCTGGCGGTCAGGCTCGAGATCGTGAGGAGATTATCGTTGTCCTCGTCCTCGATGGTCTCCGGGCTCTGCAGATGGGGCGGCACGATCGGCGTCGAGGTGGCCGTCGCCTGCACCGCCAGCGAGGCCGGCCTCTTCGGCGACGGCACGCCCGTGCTCAGGTCGAACACGGGCGCCGAGTGGATCGACAACAGGGAGCCCAGCTGATTCTGTTGATTCATATTCTCGTCGATGACGGCCGTCCCGACCATCTCCTGCGACGTTGCCGCGCAGGCGACAGGGTCATGCTCGACCGAATCCTGCAGGCTCCATTCTCGTGGTAACGACATATTTCAGCGGCTCCGTTCGCGCGAGGGGGACCGTAATACATTGGAGTTACGTTACTTGGCCTCTCTTCGCTCGCTGGACTTGGCAAACTGTCTTCTGTCACCCCGAGCCGCTGCCGCCGCCTGTCCCGTCGTGCCTCTCCGACTCCTGCGGCGAGATCAGGCTCCAGATCCGTCGACGATCGTGCCCGTTTCGCTGTCCACGTCCACCCGGGATCCTCTTATTTATATCTCCCCTGGCAAAGGTCCGGCTGGTTTCCTCCAAGGTGAGATACTGCCCAGTCTGCACCCTCTTCGGTGTGTCCACCCTTTCTCTTCTGTTCCCGTTCCTTCGCGTCCCCTTCTCTCTTGTTCCTCTTCTCTTCGTGTTTTTCGGTTCCGATTACCCGCCTGTCGTCCTCCTTCTCACCATTTACACGTTCCCCAGGATTCTCCTGACTCGGTCTAAGGGCACTTGGTAAATAACCGAGATGAAACGGGTGCGCACGCAGAGGAGGTCGCCACCGAATGGAAACTTACGGGATCGATATCCGCCGCCGACGCACTGGCATCTCGCTCTAGTCACCACCACGTGGCCTACCGACGATATATGCGGGGGCTGTCCGGTTTGTTGTCCTGCGGTCGACCCACTTTTCCACCCGAGCTTTAATCGCGCCAGCCCGTTCCCGTGATCCACGATCAAGCGAGTCCCACGATCGTCGCGATTACCCCGCAGGGAAACTCGTTCGACGGGGAGCCAAGGGAACCGGAGACGCGTTAACCGTCCTTGGCGGCTTCAACGGTCCCCCGACGACGGCTCCGGTTTCCCCGTACCCGTCATTAATATTAATGCTCGTTACCGAGGATAACGATGACGTTCAACGGAGATGATCGAACGTCTGGCCGCGTTGCTACGCCCGACCGTTTCGTTCGATCGCTCGGAAAGGGTTCTCCGTTGCGCGCCGGCTGCACCCGTCGATCGATCCCCTCGAACCGATCGAATCGATCGGACGCGGGGCGCGCGGGGGACCTGGCATGCCCGAAAACGATTCTAATGATCCGCTCGAAAAACGGGACCGCAAAAACACCCGAAAATCGCGATAGTGGGGACGCGATACTGTGCGCAGCATCCGAACGGATCAATGAGCCCCCGAGTTCAGACTCTCAGATCCACCTTCGCGCTCGACGTCGACGCTGCCCGCTCGTTCGCTGGGAAACCCGACAAGGGCGTGGAACACTCTCCAAATGAACCGGACCATCGGCCACGGGCTCGCGGAGATCGCGTGAATGATCTGCAGCTGCCCTCCAATCGGTACGTCTCTGTTCCGTCTTCTAGAAGATAGGGGATGCGATCCGATGGAAAAACCTGGCGAACTCGCGTTTCTCCCGACGTTCGCTCCTCGTCTCGCTAACGATCGTCCGCGGGGAATATTCGGATCGCAATTTCGATCGCTGCCTTTATCTTTTAGCTCGTCCTGTTTCCCCCCTGGTACTCGATGGACATTCATTAGACGCTGTGCTCTTGCCAGATCGAATCCCGCAATGGCGAAACACGAAGGAGCCTTATTATCCCTCCTCTTGGTCGTCCTGAACGAGGTCTACGGTGGACTCGCCGCATTCCAGGCCAACAATCCCACCTCCTTTAACATCGGCGGTGTGCTGTCGAACAAGGACAGCGAAGCTCATTTCAGGCAGAAAATCGACGTAAGTAATACGCGGGGCTGCGCCGTTCGCTAAGCGGGATCATTAAAACGGAACCCCTTCGGGGACACTTACAGCCTACTCTTTTATGCTCGCCGTGTCTTTAAATATTTTCATCCATTCCGCCCCGCGAGCTGGTCTTTCCCGAAGGATTTGAAGAAAATGCTCGCTTCTCGTTGGCAAGCATCTTCGTGGAATAATGCTCTCGGGTTTCTTCCTTTAATACTGCCGAACGTTTATTTAATAGACCGATGTTTAACGATAAGCTATTTTATAGTCGATTTTATGGAAGACTTCTCGTTCGCGACGAATGACTGACGATGAACAATTGGTGTTTCAGCATCTGAATTTCGACTCGAATTACGTGAGCAAGGGAGCAACTTACACGCACACGGTGATCGAGATGGACTCGAACCCGATTAAAACCGCGCTGAGCGTGTGCAACTCCCTGATCGCGAAAAAGGTGTACGCGGTGGTGGTTTCTCATCCTCTTACCGGAGACCTGTCGCCAGCCGCCGTTTCCTACACGAGCGGCTTTTACCACATACCCGTCATCGGCATATCCTCCAGAGACTCGGCGTTCTCCGACAAAGTGAGTCGACCGGTCGCCCGTTCAACTTTTAATCCCCGAAGAAACAGGATTATGGAAAGCGTGGAAAATGTTCCTATTGTCGAAGACCGTAAACGTTAAGCGAGTTAACGACTAATCGCTGGAAATGTGCGTCAGGTGCATCTTCGGTGAAGTTTTCCTTGAATAATAGACGGAAACAGGTTTCGAAACAGCCATTGATCTCTCCTTTTTATGGATTTCATTAGATACGCTAACGCATCATCTGACAGTCATTGAATAATCCTCCGAATATGAAGAATTAGCTGAAAACATTAGACATTCCTCGGTGACAACAGGAATTTCTATCGTTTTTTAGCGTCGTCTAATTTCTATATAATTAACCCTTAACGGACGAATGCCGCCATATAAGCACGACAGTTTTACCTACTGCCGGCAGCAACAATCATTTTATTATTCTTATCACTGATATAATTGTAATGTTTACAATGAACACGCGAAGTATCGTGCTAGGTCACTTGTGTGAATTTCTTTCCGCTCGTTATCTACGTTACGGTATTTCTAGGCGATAAGTCGACTTGAAATACCTCCGGTTCGTTAAGGCTTAATTACTCCTCCTTGCCGTCTAATGAATTCGTCTGACGATTCGGCGCAAACAGGATTTCCAAGTAACACTTTCGTTACATCAGCATCGCGTTACCGGTATTATTGCGCAATGCTCGTTAACGGTTTGTTATACCTTCGCTGCGCCCCAAGATGTAAACAAGAACTGCGACCGACCGAATGGTGCATCCGATGTGTTTGTTGGTTGCAGAATATTCACGTCTCCTTCCTGCGCACGGTGCCGCCCTACTCGCATCAGGCAGACGTGTGGGTGGATCTTCTGAAACACTTCAATTACATGAAGGTGATCTTCATCCACAGCTCCGACACCGATGGCCGTGCCCTGTTGGGTCGGTTTCAGACCACCTCGCAGAATTTGGACGCGGATGTAGAAATTAAGGTTCAGGCAAGTCGCACACTGCGTTTCGGACACTGCAATCTCGATGTTCAATTCGAATTTTCAATTAAAAACGATTTACTTTGCTGATACACGAACAATCCTCAGTTCAACGATGGCGATACAGTAAACGTCGTTACTGTTCTGCACAGGTGGATCCTATCATCGAGTTCGAGCCCGGCTTGGAGAGTTTCACGCACCAGCTGATGGACATGAAGACCGCGCAGGCCAGAGTGTGTTTGTTGTATGCTTCGTGAGTATTTGCACGTGCCTTCTGTCTCGTACAAAAAGCTCAGTCTGTCGAGCGCCATCAAATATAGGAAACTTCGGAGAGTGTTAACACTAGAACTACCGAGCATTCAACACGATTAATCTGTAATTGCTATACAAATTGTAACGATAGATTATTCTCAGTTTTTTCAGACATTCATTATGGTATTCGAGTGAAACTATTTATCTTCAAAATCATTTCGAGTATTCAATGCTTTCAAGATTTGACTGGAACGGCAGTTCTAGTTGTTAAACCACGGAACATCGATTGTACCTATCCGTTTCCTCTGTGAACAGGAAAACCGACGCGAACGTGATCTTCCGGGACGCCGCAGCCCTGAACATGACCGGCGCAGGATACGTTTGGATCGTAACGGAACAAGCCTTAGATGCGCCGAACGCACCGGAAGGTCTTCTCGGCTTGAAATTAATTAACGCGGAGAAAGAGAAGGCTCACATCGAGGATAGTCTGTCAGTTCCTTTTCTGATTGTACATTGACGTGTAGCTTCGTGTGTAGATAATGTTACTGGCCGAGGGAATAGCCACGGGGACCCGTTACACACGCATGAAAGGACTCGCGACACACGTCGAACATCGAGTCACACGTAACGCTTGCATTGCAAATTGTCGACTGCTCTGTCAGCTTAGGTACAACTCCCCTGACTTTCTCTAACGTCGCAGCATGCGTTGCATTCGAACACTATCTTCTCTCTCTGCAATGTGCAACCGATTTCAGACCAGCGGATCACGTCTACGTACACTCTTAGTACATCCTCCCATTGTCTACCAACGAACACTGTTAATCGTTCAAAGTGCTTTACATTGTACACGCTAGAACGTATGTCTGTGAGCGTTGTTGTTCCACCTGAGACTGTTGACGCGTTACCGCTACTCCTTCAGACCGAGCGTTCACCGAACGGAACAGTAATTAGCACGCGTAATGGAACAGCATTCAGGTCTGAAGGAGTTCCGATCACTGCAGTAAACTTGTTATCGAAGATTTAGCTATCGAGCGTGTAGCGCCTATAATTTAGTACACGTTGCAGACTGATTCTCGTGTCCGCTTTGAACGAGATGAACAAAACCGAGCTGATCACAGAGGCTCCTAAGGACTGCGGTGATTCCGGCTCCATTTGGGAAACCGGGAAGAGCCTGTTCAGGTACGGTTCACGGTTACCTGCTCTAATTGAACACCGATACACACAGCCCGTTCTATCGCGAGTTTTGCCAACGTAGATTCATCCGCAAACAAGTGCTGCCGAACGGCACTACCGGGAGAGTAGCCTTCGACGACAACGGGGACCGAATCTTCGCCGAGTACGACATCGTCAATATTCAAGAGGACGGTGAACGGGTCTCCGTTGGACAGTATTTCTATCCAATTGTGAGCTTCGAGGAGTACAGTGTTTAAACTAAGAGAGTCGACGGAGAATGCAATTACGAACATGTGTCTGTAACTTTATTCGTTTCAATTGATTCTACCTTGCAGTTGAACGCAGCCCAGAACAGCACCAAGATGAAGCTCATGGTGAACGAGTCGAACATAATTTGGCCCGGTCGATTGCGAACAAAGCCGGAGGGTTTCATGATCCCGACGCATTTGAAAGTGCTCACGATCGAGGAGAAGCCGTTCGTCTACGTCCGCGAGATCCCCGACGGCGAATCTTGCCTGCCGGAGGAGATTCTGTGCCCCCACTTTAATGCCACCGAACACGAAAGTAAATGGCGAAACGTGCTACCGTCCGCAACGCGATCCCCTCGTTTGCCGTACAATCATTGCAACGTGTTTTTTAGACACGAAATCGTTCTGTTGCAAGGGGTACTGCATGGATTTGTTGAAAGAACTATCAAAGACCATCAACTTCACTTACAGCCTGGCCCTGTCTCCCGACGGACAGTTCGGCAGCTACATGATCAAGAATAGTTCAGGTTGCAAACTGCCCTTTGAAAGAAATCCCTGCTGGGACGACAGCTTCGACGAGTAGAGAGGAATGTGTTGTCCGTGAATGTTGTAGGAGGCGGAAAGAAAGAGTGGACGGGCCTCATAGGGGAACTGGTCAACGAAAGAGCCGACATGATCGTCGCCCCTTTGACGATCAACCCGGAACGCGCGGAGTTCATCGAGTTCAGTAAACCTTTCAAGTACCAGGGCATCACTATTCTCGAGAAGAAGGTGATTAATAATTAGTCTGCGTATTTGATACGTTCGTATTAAACGGAATTGATTGCGAAACGTTCTTTATTAACACTAGAGCTACCAGATGAGTCAAAATGACCGATTTCACGATTCTCATTTCGCCATTATTCAGATGATACAGGTGCTTTCATGAGAAATCTGATTTCTATAACAAATTATAAGTAGCTCAGTGTTATTGCTCAATAGTTCTAGCGTTAAACAAGCTGATTCTCAAATGGAATAAACATGCTTCTACAAGGAAATGTTGAAAAATCAATTTAAGAACTCTAGTTCTGGTGTCAGTAGACTAATCAGTATACTAGGTGGCGGTTTCAAGCTGAATTAATTAAGGAAGACTGTCGCTGGGTTTGCAGCCTTCTAGGTCCTCGACTCTGGTGTCCTTTCTGCAGCCGTTCAGCAACACACTTTGGATTCTGGTGATGGTGTCGGTGCACGTGGTGGCTCTAGTTCTGTACCTCCTCGACCGGTTCTCGCCTTTCGGGAGGTTCAAGCTAGCAAACACTGACGGCACCGAAGAGGACGCCCTCAACTTGTCCAGCGCGGTCTGGTTCGCCTGGGGAGTCCTGCTCAACAGCGGAATAGGAGAAGGTCCGTGCGAACCGCGGATCGATGCGAGATCACAACGATCGTCGTATTTAATTGTCATCCAGATATCGTAGGAGCGATTCCGCGAGTCGTTATGCGTCGAACGTTGCACGCGACAATGGAATTAACGTCCCAGATGCCGCGACGCAGTGAATTTTTATAAAACTTTCGTAAACTGTGATTCACGACACGAAGCCGCTTCCCGTGTAATCAGTCTAAAAGGAATTCTTTATTATCCTACGGAGCGTGTCTCCCCAATAGCTATTAACATTGAACCTACGAGGAACGTATTTATAGCGACCGCTAATATCATCCTTTGCCAGCCGAGCCATAATTAAATCGATTAAACAAGAACAAAAATGGAGTCACGCAATGATTGTTGCAAGCTCGTAACCGGCGACGGTTTAGTAATGGAAATATTCGATGAAATCGAACATTGGAAGAGGTTTCAGACGAACGTTAAAACAGTTTCAGTTACTTTCCTTTCTATAAGTGACAATCACTTTTAAATGATAAATTTAACGACTCGAAGACGCTCGAATTAGAATAGTTCGCATGATAAAAGAGACTTTCCGTAATTGAACAGGTACTCCAAGAAGTTTCTCTGCCCGAGTGTTGGGCATGGTCTGGGCAGGATTCGCGATGATCATCGTTGCCTCGTACACCGCCAACCTGGCTGCATTCTTGGTGCTGGAACGGCCGAAGACGAAATTAACCGGCATCAATGACGCTCGAGTAAGAATCCGTTTAATCGAATTCCATGATTCCTGCATGGAGCTTCGAAGATGGCGAAAGGAAAATTACAAACTAGACTTACATCCGTAAAACTGTTATCGTTGTCATGTTACCTATGAAAGAATCTGCACGTTCACAGCTGAGGAACACCATGGAGAATCTCACGTGCGCGACGGTGAAGGGTTCCTCCGTGGACATGTACTTCCGCCGGCAGGTGGAATTGTCCAACATGTATCGCACCATGGAGGCAAACAATTACGACACCGCCGAGGAGGCTATCAGAGACATCAAAATTGGGTAGGGGTTCGCCACTCTTTTCAACGCATAATGCTTCAGAAATTTCATGCTTCCGATCAATCTCCACACGCTTAATTAATTAATGCTTTTAATATTTGAACGATTAAAAATTACAATACTCGCGTGGCTGTTGGACGTTAAACTCGGGACACTTCTGTTGCCCGGTGTTTCTACTGTCAACGCTATTCATGATCTTTCAGGAAGCTGATGGCCTTCATCTGGGACAGCTCTCGACTGGAATTCGAGGCTGCGCAGGATTGCGAGTTGGTCACTGCTGGAGAACTGTTCGGACGGTCTGGTTACGGGATCGGCCTGCAAAAGGGCTCTCTGTGGGCGGATGCGGTGACCCTGGCTATTCTAGACTTCCATGAAAGTGAGGAGACATCGAGCGTTGCTGTTCCTTTCGGATGTTGGAATTAACGAGAGGTTGATCGATTCATTAAACTATTCCACCGCAGGCGGTTTCATGGAGAGCCTCGACACGCACTGGATCCTCCAAGGGAACGTACAGCAATGCGAGCAACTGGAGAACACCCCGAACACGTTGGGACTGAAGAACATGGCCGGGGTGTTCATAGTGGTGGGAGTGGGGATCGTCGGTGGCATCGGCCTAATAATCATCGAAGTGGCGTACAAGAAGCATCAGATCCGGAAACAGAAGAAGATGGAGCTGGCGAGACACGCGGCGGACAAATGGAGGGGCGCGATCGAGGTAGGGGAACCTAGGGGTGGACCCCCTGGTCTAATCGAACTGTTTTTTTGTCTCCGATATCTTTCGCTGTCCTCTCCTCAGAATTGTGTGTTTATCAGTAAGCCACAGGCGGCCGGGAGGAAGTAGGAGCAACGCAGGAAGTTCTGAAAGCTAGTAACGACACGAAAATACGACAGATCTGAGCGGCAGTTTTCGCTTCTACTAGCTTTAGGGGATGAAGAATGTAGTCGGGCTTCTATAAAGTTGGCGCAGGATAGCAGATTTCTAGAGAATAAGCAATCCTCCTCTGTATCTTGCATCAGTATCGCTTTTATTCACTCGGGCCGAGGAATATCCGAATGCCATCGACGAATATCGAGGTCTGCCGCGTCGTTTGAAATCGTCGCGGGTTCACCGTCGACTGCCGATCAATTCGGTGAACTGTCATTCGGATATTCCGTCTCCAGCAGCTCGTTCACGGCATCTCAGTACTTGTATCGGCTTTCTCGTACTTAAGCTTGGAATCTTAAGCTACCGTTAGAAGTACAAGTTATAATCATGGCTCTTTGAGTAAGCTACCACTTACGAGTATTCGAACTACATGCACTGACGAACTTATTTATGCTTTGAAATACAGCGCGGCGTAACTCGTAAGTTTCATAGAATTAGCCGAAGTAAAAGAGCGATTATCGATTGTACAGCATCGCCGGTTCGACCGAGTAATCGGGGGAATTTCTCTTTCGCACAGAAACGGAAGACTCTGCGAGCCTCTATAGCGGCCCAGCGGAGGATTCAAAGCAACGGCCTAAACGACCCCACCACCGTCAGCCTCGCCGTGGACACGGTGGCTAGATCCAACATGGCGCCGCGAAGTCCTGGTCGCGCCTGGCCCGGAGATAGCGATATCCGGCAACGGCCAATCCCTCGCTCGGACGATATCAGACTCTCGCCCGCCGCGTACACGGCGGACGTCTCGCACCTTATAGTGTGAGCGGACTGAGTTTTTTATAGACCACTTGTATCGAGAGTACGAAAATGTTATCACCGAAGCCACGTTAGATATCTGCACAGTCGTATCTCTCTGTCGACGGTGCGTTTGTTTTATACAATAAATATCGTTGCTTTAAAATTTGCCGCGCAATCTTCCCACGCCCCCAGCCCTGCTCCTCGATCGATAAATCGCGAGCCGATCGGTCGGTAAATATTTACCGAATACGCGTCATCGCGCAGTTTCAACGGTTTTCCGTAGGAATTTCATTCGCGTGGAGGACGAGTGACGGAGTCGCTTATCCTCTTCAATTTTTCATTTTTACTCATCGATTGCGTAACCGCGAAAGCCATCGCTTTCGAAGGAAACTTTGTTTGGTTTCTTTGTTATGTATACGCAATTAGCGACGTACGAACTATAACTCGGGGGACTGATATATAATCAATTTTTAAATATTTTTAAATAGCTTCGTTCTTTCCACGAATCAAACGCCGTCTAGAGTCGGCATAGAACTTTCCGTGCAGCGAGACTTTGTAGGTAAGTCGTGGTATTTTTGTTTGAAATTTCCGTGCCGATTTCATTGAGAGGATCGAGCGTATTTTTCACGTGTGAATTGTACGGTTTAATCTGAGTTTTCCGATGCGAAGGTGGAGTGAAATCCATCGTGTGTTTATCTTTGATTGCAGATAACGAGGTGTTGGTGGTGGATGAATTTTCCGCGCGAGTTTGCTTTCTGTGTTTAGTTTCGTGCACCATGATCACGGACGTAACACATGAGAACGAATTGTGTCAAGTTTCTCGCCGCTGTCATTTGACGAAGTTTCATTAACAACCATCCTGTTGGGTTTATTTTCTAGCTGGCTTCGTAACGGTTTAATTAATTTCTAATCATTAGACATGGCAGACACGACCGTGGACGCAACACGCCGTTTAAACGTTAAAAAACAGACCTTAGACGACGCTTATGCAGCGCCTGCAAATTTCCTCGAAATTGACGTGATTAATCCAATCACACACGGCGTCGGCAAGAAACGGTATACCGATTATGAAGTTCGCATGAGGGTGAGTAAAAGGATTTGCCCCTGTTGGATTTTTCGCCCTTCGTTGATACCGCGTTAGGTTATAAAAACCACCATCGTTAGATCGTCTTCTGCGACGATTTTCTTTTTGCCGCTTAAACTGAACGTATCGCGTATTTCCATCGAAAGAGAGATAAACTGACGTGGACTTTAAGTTCAAAATTTAATCAAAATACATTCCGTCACGAACGTACGAATCGTTTCACTGTTCTGCAATTTCTGCTTACATGTTTTTTTCTTTCGTTTAAATATCCTGCATTGCAGTCGGTGCACACGCTCCTGTACAATATTGCTAATTTTAAATTCTCCGATTTTGAACGCCGTTTATCAGTTAATTTTTTCGTACTTATCGTTTCTGTTTTCCAACGAAAATACAAAGAAATAATATTACCAGTAATTGTAATAATTTCATTAGGCTCGTTAATTGAACGTATAGTGGGCAGTGTGTGTTATCTTGCTTTTGGTGATAAAAAAGAACAGATACAAAAATGTATGTGATTCTTGGGTCCATTTATAGAATTATAGATTAACTTACAATAAAGATATCGCAAAATTTAGTAACTGATAATTAATATAAATACTCCATATTTTAGTTCAATTTGTTGTCTAATATAGTTTTGTATTAAGAATTCTTTGAAATAGCATCGTGTCTTTTATCTTTATTACATTAAGAGAAAATTATTTTAAATTTTTAGTCTTGTACAATGTATCGAATGAACTCTAAATGTAAATTATAATCTTTGAACAAAGCAGTCTATGTACATTCTTAATTATAAGAGTTTTATTTTGCCTTTTTTCTAGACAAACCTACCAGTTTTCAAAGTTAAAGATTCAACAGTGAGGAGAAGATACAGTGATTTCGAATGGTTAAGAAATGAATTAGAAAGGGATAGCAAGGTCAGTTGATAATTATATTTAAATTTGTTATTTTATTTTTAAAGTATTCTTTTAATTCTATAGATTGTTGTGCCTCCATTACCAGGAAAGGCATGGAAACGTCAAATGCCTTTTCGAGGGGATGATGGTATTTTCGAAGAAGATTTTATTGAAGATCGAAGGAAAGGGTTAGAAGAATTTGTTAATAAGTACGTACATTTTAACCTTCTCAATCACAGAACTAATGATTGTTTGTTGACTTCAATTTGTTGAGATAATAAAAATTTGTATATTATTTTAGAATAGCAGGACATCCATTAGCACAGAATGAAAGATGTTTACATATGTTTCTGCAAGAAGCTGTAATAGACAAGAACTACGTACCTGGAAAAATACGTAATACATAAGTTATAATAAGACTCATTGCAAGTATACTTTTCTCCCCACCTTGAATATTTAGTCATACTTGACTATGTTAAAAATTGATTCTACAATCTTAAAAGATCCTTCTGTATTTATATGCAATATTTAATCGAGCTTTCAATGCTGTGATGTCAAATTAAAATTCGTTTCTTTGGAAATAGTTGTGTTTAAAACATTGTGTATCATATACTCAGAAGGATCTAAGCGACATCATCAGTCATTGAAACAATGTAATAAAAGTTTTTTGCTTTATCTTTTGTTTAATGATGTTGTAGTAATATTGGCTTCTTGTAAAAAGATACATAACTTGGTATTTATTACTTTCAAATTTTGCAAAATAACATTAGACACAACGGTTCAATTAATATGCAAATATGAAATTCATAAATTCCAAAGTATGGCTTAAAAAGAAAATATTAAGATGAAAGCTATTTATTTACAAGTTGTTCAGTAGAAATGATGATTAGTCATTTTCCGTTGCTCTTTCTTTTTAAACGATTTGACTAAAATTTTGTATATATTTCCTATATAATTGTAGAAATATATTTTGAAATCAAAAATATTTAGAGTAAGATAAAGAGGAATAAAACAGAAATAAAATATTTCAGAATTATGCAATTACTATTGAACAACTTGTAAGCAGCATATAAATTGATGTATAAACAGTGCTATTGCAAATAGGTAAATAAGATATAATTCGGTTAAAAGTGGAGATAAATCTCTTAAAAATTGTTTATAATTTGATATTCTCTACGTGGAAGAAGTGTTAAGAAATCTGAACATTACTGAACGTAATTCTTTGTTTAATAATGATAAAGTATATAAAACTAAGGCGTTTTGAATCTCCTTGTTATATACTTGTTCTATTGACGATAGGATACAGAAATAATATTATTGTATCGAATTCAACAGTAAAATCAATAACTTCTATGTTGTGTTTTCATATTCTTTAAATTTACGCTATAAGCAACATTTCTTGAAAGTTTATCATTGTCAAAGGGACTGTGTACAGGGCATAGATTAAAACTATTTTACTGTTTCTTATTTAAGTTATAGTTTGTATTGCAAGAAAGTTTTCATTAACTATACTTAATTACACTAGTGTATATATACTAGCGTGTACGTTAACGCGCATGCATACACACTCACGTATACACAGGAATATTGTATATCAATATAAATACTAAGAGACATAAAGGAAGATTAAGACTGTGACTTACATACTACTTTAAAGCTTCGATGTCTAGTAAAAAAAGTCTTAAAAGTTTCTACTTTGTTTAAAGTATATATATATATATATATATACACATATATATGTATATATATATGTGGAACATACAACAATTTTATATGATTCATAAGAAAAAATTCTTATAAGAAAGATAATTACTGTTTCTCAACTTTTATTGTATTCATTTTGTATGCATACCTTTGGACAATCAAATTTCAACATACTTCTTTATTGCGTTTTCTTCTTGAAAATAATATGTACAATGTTGCTTCACACTGAATCTACTTTAAAATTTTCGAAAGTTAAATAGTTACAGCGCTAATGACTCAATTGTATTAAGAAAATGTCCCTTTAAGGAAATAGGAGTATGTAGTTTATACTTATAAGTATACATCCTGTTTAGTTCTAATGAATTTTTTATTTTTAAAATACGTTTCTATATACTTGCTCACGCAGTCTTGCTCTGAAAAATAAAAATAAATATTACTTATTTCATGCTGTACTATGCTGCTTTTATTAAATATTTTTTTACACGATATTAATGAGTACCAACCAGGAAAAGTATTTTCAATTATAAGCATATCAGCTATGTGTTTTGCGACTACCTTGAAAAGTTGCCTATCTTTTATTCTTCTCTTTTTATAAAATGGCATTAGATGTTTCACTATCCATGGTGCTATTCTCTCTTTACACGCAGTTAAATGTTCTTCGATGCAGATCGGCGAATCTGGCATCATTTCTTCATCGTCCGATTCCCCGAACAGTTCAATAAATTTTTCTTTTACTCTCCCGTGTTTTCTATAATTCTTCAAAGACAATTCTGTCATTTTTGCTTTTAGTTTAGATACTTGATACACGCGTTCAACGAACCAAATGCTATTCGCTCTGCGTTTCTGTTTACTTTCGGGAGTATCGTTTTCCACTCCCAACAATTTATTAGCTTCTCTACTTTTCATCTCTTTGTAATAACTAAAGCTATACTTCCCTGTACTTATATTTGATGATTTTGCGTTATTGCTTTTAACATTAATCTTTGTACTATCTTTGCTGTCAGGTATGCAAGTAGAACCATTGGAATTAAGTGGAAAAAGAGAATCCGATTCAAAGCACATTTTATTAATCTCTTTGTCCACGTTAGCTTTACTCACTCCTGAATGTTTCTCTATTAATGTCATGAGATCACTGCTATCATCACTATCACAAAACATGTCTTCCATGTGTTGTAAAAGTGAATCTTGAGAATTTTCATCCTCATTTTTAATACTGGATAGATTGTTCAACATTTGAGTACTAGAATCATCCTGTGTACAACTAAACATTTTACATTCTTCTTTCATTATTTCTGCATCAACTGTTACTTTAGTGCTGATCTCGTCATCTGATTCAATTTTAAATGTACTCTGATCTATGTCAGTACAACAGGTAGAATTTACCGTAGGTGAAGCTGTATTATTGTAATTACAAGGATTAACAATATCATTTTGAGCTTCAATTATACTGATTACGTTCTTTTTCTCTTCTTCTTCTTCTTCCTCTTCTTCTTCTTCTTCTTCTTCTTCTTCTTCTTCTTCTTCTTCTTCTTCCTCTTCTTCTTCCTCTTCTTCTTCCTTCTCGTCGTCCTCCTCCTCTTCTTCTTCTAACTCTTCCTCTTCTTCTTCCTCTTCCTCCTCTTCCTCCTCCTTAAGGAGTGGTTCTTGTTCCTCAGGAAACAGTTCCTCACAATTGGACGTGATGCAAATGCTTTGAATATTATCAACTTTCTCTAATTCTGCCCACGAGTTAATAGTTTGAACACCAACATCTACCTTACTTGGCGGAGACTCTAAAAATATCACTAATTTCTTATAAGCCTTTTTGTCCAATGTATGAGACTTTACATCTGAAATCTATTAGTGTTTTACTTTCAACTATTAATCAATTTATTTTAAATTTATTAATTCACATTCATATGGTAAACTTACCATCTTCAACATATTTTGTCTGTATAAAGTTGCTTCTAAAGACGATCGGACAGCATGCAGTTCCATTTGATTTGCACAGTTTCTTAATTGTTCACATTGAATATCTTTATCCTTCTCTTTATAATACAGAATATAGTTGGTGAGCAAACATTTATGAAGATACGAGAAATACACTGCACGAACCTGTAATTCAAAATATTCATTCAGATTAAATACATATTAACAATTCATAGAATACTTTTTCATGGTTGTTGACAATATGAACATCGAATTATGAAACAATAAAACATATATTATTTACAAACAATGACTGAACTGCATGTTTAAAAATTGATATTTTCAGATAATTATTCCGCTTTTACACGAAACATGCCTTGGTAGTCAATCGAAGAAATTCATCATTTAGATCGGTCGGAAATTGAAATTTGTTTGTTGAAAGAGAGGGTAACGATATTGATAAAAGATTATTAATTTCTTCGAGACTAGTATTGTCATCATCAGTGTCCAGAAAGTCGAATTCCTCTCGTTCTCTCTTCAATGGAAGTAATATGTCCATTTGCTCCATTGTTGTTATTTTATGTTATAATCAATCTGTATACATCGACTTACGGAAGAGTATTTCAAATATCTCACCCAAGAAACTGTAAATATTCACCGCGCTACGATAACATATTCAACTTTCTTACGAATCAAAGGCATAGTTACTGTCGTATGAGGCGTACGTAATATGCAATAACATTTCTGTTAATATTTCCGTGCAATAAATAAGCAATTTTCTGTAATCAAGTGAAAATAATATTTATTATAGACATATATACATTTGACTACAATAATAGTAGACCTTTAACGACTAACTTCACAGACATTGATTTTGGTTCAATTTCAAAGGCGCCTGTGCGGTATGAATGATACCGAGAAGAATATTCTTAATAAATAGAATTACTTTGTAAAGACTTTTATAAATATGTATGCCATTTAAAAAAGTATTATCAACATTAGTATTAATATAAGAATTGTTTGATGCCTTTTAAAAATCATGATTTCATTAAGGGTGTTAGCATGCTGCTAATTAGGAAGCTTAGGGTGAGGAACAGAGGGAACTGACTTGTATTTATTCAAATAACTTTCATCCATTCGTGCATTCCCTTGATTATATTGTTTATTAATTTATGAAAGAGATCAATGATATAAAAAATTGTACAACACAGACTTGAAAATATTATATTTGAATGGTGATCTTGATTTATTTTTGTACTTTGTCAATATCAGTTTTTATAAGAAAGTGTTAGGTCTGTATTAATATACAAGCTATACGGATATTTTATACATTGAAAAAACAGACTAAAATGCATCAGTTATCTCTAGTTTCTGGTTCCTCGTCGTATGCAGCCATGACCTTTTCCATTATTTCCCATAGCTTGTCCCTTGTTAGGTCTTTACAAAACACCTGAAAATTACAAACATATTGTACATTGTACCATTCACAAGTACTTCACAACATTGATATTTTTATTGATCATTGACCCTTACATTAAACCATGGCTGCTGATCACATTCGTCCATTAATGGTACTACTACACCATAAATCTGTAATGATAAATTAATACAAGCAATGGCTATTAAATTCGGTGGATAATCAAGTATAGCAGGCGAGTGATGAAAGTCTTGTAGAAGTGCCATACTGGTCTTTGCAACAGGATATTTAGACCATTCTTCTTCCCCAAACCATGCTTGCAAAGACCTTAGATAATGTAACATATACTGAAACATTAAAATTTTATTTTAGAAGGCTATAATTTATAATACATATATTATATGCAATCAGAAAGATTGTTTACTTTACTAAATGGATATTTACTTTGTGCGGATGTACAGGAGTTACTTGAAATTTCAGCATACGCATGATTAAAAGCTCTGCTTGAACAATTGCGTCTCTCATGCTCCAGTATTGATCTCCTAATTCTAAAGGTTGCGATCCTCTGTGAAGTGTACTATATGAAACATTCATTACATCCCTTATTTTTAAGTTATCATCCTTTACTTTTCCTGCTAGATAAAGGCAGGTTGCAGCGATCAACTGGAAATGCATATATATATATATGTATATTTATGTAAATATTAACTAGACTGAATGCATATAAGTGTAACTTAATCACTAAGTTATTTACATAGTTATCGTAGCCTCCTGGGGCTGCTTCCTTTATAAACCTATGATACAAAGTGGCAGCTGTGGCAATTGTTAATGGATGAGCTTCTAATTTTAAACCTGTAATTTAAATAATGAATAAATGATACAGTTTCAATATAGGCACAGTGTACTTTATAACATATGTACATAAAATACTTACCACATTCAAATATAAATCTCGAAACTGTGAAACTATCACTACTTTTTGTATAATCAATAGTAATACTTTTTTGTAAAGTATTTCTCTTTTCCCTTTGCATCGCCAACACATCGATAACATCTTTCATTTTGGAACTATAAATATATATTACATGAAGAAACACTTTACATATCTTAAATGTGATGTCATGTACCACACCAATGCCATAACAATTGAATTGTTAAAACTGATTATACTTTGTTTTCATTTTCTTTCATGAAATTTATAAACTATCGATTGATGATCAATGAACAAATGATACGATGCTTGAATAACTATTTCATTAAAATTATGTTTAAACGACACATTATACTTTTATGCACAAATTCTTTTCATCTATTATTGCCAAGGCGTATTTTGCAAATTAAGAACCGGCACGTTATTACAAATCTTGTCACAAGGAAAATCCATATTATTTGTAAATTTCTTCAACTTGAAATTACCTTAACGTTTCCGTACTCGTAGGCTCTGTAGGATTCATTCTGATAATGTTATAATTGAATTTTTATGAAAATTTTAATTTACTTCTTTACAGGTTACGATAACAATATTTATTTTCTATAAACTGCACGCACCGGCATTACCAACATACTTACTAAGGCCATTTTCTAAAGATTTTAATACCAACTGTAATGTAACTACAAATTGTACAATTTCCCTCTGGCTAGGGAAAAGTCTTTAAAAAACCTGTTCAGGATATTCTGAATATGAATGACTCTTGAATTACAATATTTAATATGTATATATATGTATGTATTTGGTTCAACGATCTATTTAAATGCATACATATCTTTCATGACTCCGCAATCCATTATCAGAAGAAATGCCTTTAAAAGGAATTAAGGTTTTAGAATTAGCTGGTCTAGCACCCGGTCCCTTTTGTGGGATGATATTAGCCGATTTTGGCGCGAGCGTTATTAAAGTGAATAAGGTATATTAAAAATATAATTATTCTTTTGTTTAAATTAAACATACTAGTAAATTAAAAAAATACTCTGAGACATCGGAGACACATAATATTTATTTGTTTTCCACAGGTTAATGCATTCCAACCGATTCCTGACTGTCTTGGTCATGGCAAGAGGTCTATTGCTTTGAACTTAAAAACCGAGAAAGGCATAAATATATTTAAAAAATTAAGCGATCAAAGTGATGTGATTATAAATCCATTCAGACCTGGTTTGTACTTTCTAGTGACTACTATAATGCCAATACAGGTAGCTTTCCTATAGCATGGTATCTTACAATATAGTTTTGCTCTAACATGATAAGATACATTGCAGAAATCCTTGTATAACACTGTACACGGCTTTACACAACACTGCATTTTCTAGTCTGTCTTTTGGAATTGTAGTAATTAAGAAAATTATATTGATTTAACAGGTGTATTAGAAAAAATTAAACTGGGTCCTGAAGATCTTATGAAAACAAATAAGAAGCTAATATATGCTAGATTAACAGGATTTGGGCAAAATGGTCCTTACGCAAATATGGCTGGCCATGATATTAATTATTTAGCTCTATCTGGTGAGACAAATTTTAATGCAATATGATTATATTACATCTTGTATCATTACATTGAATTGTATTATTCGTATTAAAATGCAGGCTTATTGTCTTTATTTGGCCGATTTAACGAAAAACCAACACCACCAGTTAATTTGGCTGCTGATTTTGGTGGCGGTGGATTAATGTGTGCCTTTGGAATATTACTAGCATTATTAGAACGTAGCAAACACAATGTAGGTCAAATTGTTGACATATCCATGGTAGAAGGGTCAGCTTATTTAGGTAGTTGGTTATTCAGGACTCAAAATCTACCTGAATTGTGGGGAAATCCTCGTGGTAAAAATATGTAAGTATTTTAAAATTCAAATCAACTTCCTTAATTTACAATTTTAAGTGTAAATCACCTTCTTTGTAATATCTAACAGATTAGACACAGGGTCACATTTTTATAATACTTATGAAACAAAAGATAAAAAGTATATGTGTGTTGGTGCAATTGAACCACAGTTCTATCAAACATTTTTGGAGAAAATTGGACAATCTATAGATGAAATGCCACAATATAGTGAATTTGAAGAAAGTCGAATGAAATTAGAAAAGATATTCAAGCAAAAAACTCAAGCTGAATGGTGTGCTATATTTGATGGTACCGATGCATGTGTGACACCTGTTTTAAATTTGAAAGAAGCTGCAGTTCACACGCATAATAAAGAGAGAAATACATTTACAACATTGGAAGATAATGTAATCAGTCCAAACCCTGCTCCTCGTTTATCGCTTACTTCTGGAAAATCAAAGGTACTTCTAAACAACCCTATACCTGGTGAGCACACTACAGAGATTCTTAGAGAATTAAATTTTAAACAGAATGAAATTAATGAATTCTTACACAATGGAATTGTTGAACAGGGAATGACACAGTCTAAACTGTGAATATTTATGCATTTATATATTACAATACACGTGTTATTATTAATATATTTTGATACAAATGTTGTTTAAATACATAATTTTAAAACTAACATTAATCTTTTTATTCATTAAAACATTAATACGAAGATGTAAATTTGGTAGAATGGTACTTGTCCACTTATATGTAATTTAAAGCACAGAAACATTTTTACTGAAAAATGTGGTACAACTTAATAACAACCACAGCTATTAACAACCATATTCTTATATTTTTTTAAGACAACATTACTGTCATCTAAAAAATACAGTACTGATATTGGTGACAATTTCGTTGGTGCACAACAGGGTTTTGGTACTTCTTTTGGTTTTAGGAGATGTACTAAAGTCTGTACAATCGCATGATTTGATGCATTCATATGAATGTTTAATGGAAAATTGCACTCTCCACTACAATAATAAGCGTCGTATCCTTCTGGAGCAATGATCCAATCTTGCCATTTAAGATCTTTAAAACTAATGTACAAAGTTTTCATATTACACGAATTTCTTTTTTTATTAATAGCTGAACTAATATACGGATTCTTCTGAATGTCTATAATAGTAACATCTGATTTCTTCAATTGATTTCTCTTTTGCCTTTGTAGAATTTCATGCTTTATTTGATTTCCAGAATTTTTAAAAAATCCAACCATGAACGGTTGCTTGTCAAGAATTCCCGAAACACCTACAATTCCTATATCAGCTGGTCTTAAAGTATGGCCACTGTAATCAGCATGATGCACTGCTAAGAATAAACCCCGATTTTCTTTTGGATGCTTAACCCAATACTCAAGCACTTGACTGATATTTAAAGTAATCCATTTTTCTTTATCTGTTGTAATATTAACTGAACTTGTATAATATTTAATTCGTCTGCCATTTTTAGTTCGAGCCACTCTGTATAATGCTATTGTATAAGTCTTATTGTATTTAGAATGTTCCTGCAAACTTTGGTAAAGTCGGAGTTCTGCTGAAATGATGTGCTCTCCAGTTGGAACTTCTGACACGTCGAACCATATCCTTTTTCCTCTATTTGTTTTCGACGCGTTTCCCGAATGTGGATTGTGTGCACCAAAAGTCATAATTAAATCACTTTGACTAATAATATTAATATCGTAACCAGTTAAATTGAATTCTCCTGTATCTCTGTATTGGTCATAAGATAATTTGTTGTTTTCATTGGATAAAATATTCTTATAAATGTTTAGTAGAAACTTTGGTGCAGATCTTTTAATTAATAATGCTCTACGCGCAATTCTTTTTGGTCTTCTAGGTAATTCTAAAATGTTTAACAGATTGTATTCTATTTCTTGTTTCTGTTTAGCATTGGTAACACGATATAATATTGTTTGATCAAATCCATTGTCTACATACAATCCACTGGATCTTTCAGAACTTGTTACAAACACTATTACCAGAAGGAATATGATAATAATAATATACTTTTTATACATTCTACTTTTGAAATGATACAAATTACAGCATTTTTGAAACTATTTATACTCTTCAGTAAATGCCTCACTTCTTGTATTTACATATGCTGACTTAATCATTCTCAGTCCGTTTGTCATCTATAAAAAACATTGTATACACTGATGAATAACTTCTATTGGCAGAAATGTATTTGTATACAATCTAACAGAAAAGTAATTAGTATTAGATGTCATCAGTGAATAACTTGTTAAAAGCAATATACTATTACTTTTGGTAAATTATTTTTAAGATCGTAATATGGTTGCATGGTAAAATGGTGAGATGGTAATGTACAAGTTTATTATAAATATTGAATGTGTTACAATCTACATCAACAAGTACAGAGCATATGCGTGTATTATTGCAATATTATTTCGAGGGCGGCTGTGGCCTTATGGGTTGATCCTGGCGAGATCCTCTTCCAATAGGATGCACAGATGCCGGTTTTATTGATAATAGAGAGCCGAATAAAACATGCTGGATGACGGGAAATTTTGCAAGGACCTGATATTTAGAATACATTAAAAGTATTTAAATGAATTTATCAGTTCAAGCGAATTTGACAGTAATAATTAATCGTTACCTCAGCTTTGTACATTTTAATAAGACCACTATTTACTTTGCTCCATGATGAAACTCCACTAACATTCCACAACTGATTCGAATGTTCAGCAAATGGACCAACCTTCACCTGAAGGAATATTTGTTACATTCAAATTATTTGAAATGTAAATTAATTAGTTTAATTTAAATTACAGTAATTTAAATGTTCATGTATTTTATGCATATATACAAACTTTTGAAATAAATTCAATGCAACCAAGAAACATATATTGGTTGCTATGTGCTTCAACAATTTCTGGATCAACAAAGTGACGTGGTTCTATTCGGGAATGCCCTAAAATATTAAGGTATCATATGAGCATATTTTCCAATGAATGTTAGTACTGATTAAGAAAAGTATAGTAATGAAGAAATTACCAACTAATTGAGCACTTCCCCATATAAAGGGAACAAACTGATAGTCGTCCAAGCTCCATACACCGTGACTACCAGCTGGTTCCATTCGATAAGTTAATTGTAATCTACGTACCAACTCAAGATATCTTTAAAAAAGAAAATGTTTACAGTATGTAATGACAAGTATTACACACCAAATAAAAAATACATTACCTATTAAATATTTTTACAACTACAGCAACTTTGTCATCTTGCTTAAATGCTCCAATTTTAAACATGCAACACAGGAACATCAGAAATGCCATTTCATGGCCTGTACCATAGTCTATACGTGTTGGATTACCAAAACTTTCGTACAAATACTGGATTATTTCTGGAACTGCTCTATGCAATTCTTTTGGTAGTACTTTCTGTAGTTCATCCATTCCATGCTGGAATATCACAATATAAATAGTTTTTCACACAATAAGTTTTCATGTAAAATTAATAAACATTTACCTCTTGGAGCCTTTCATACCATATCCTAAATGATTTATTACCAAAACGTTGAGGTTGATTAGTTGGAGGTATTTGAGTTATCCATTCGTCAAACTCATTAAGCATAGCAATAACATTACCTATCACAGGACTCTGAGCGCATTCAATGTTCAGCGCTTTCCCTTGAACCGACTCATTTAAGGCTAATACAAAACCCAAGTATTCCTATAAAATTATTTCATCATGAATTTTAAACATCAAGGTTCTTTGTACAAATGCTATAGAAGTATATTATGTAAGGACTTCCACGAAATTTATAAATTTTATTTTAAATTCTTCCCACACAGTATTTTGGTTACTTGTCATTAGCAATAAGGATAGAAAGCTTTGTTAAAAAAAAAATATTGTTATATCGATATGAAGGAAGATCCGCATATGAAATAACAAAACACAATAAAAATAAATACGTTGCACAAATTCTTACAAAATATGCTTCTGACTTCTCCCATGCTGACATATCAGCTGGAACTTTGATCGACTTCTTTGGAACGATGAATTCATGTTCATCCGCTAAAATATTGAAAAATAATTACATTGCCATATTCTTAATGACTAATTACTTCTTATTAACACAGAATTCGTACGTGTTATTGGTATTTCTTTCCCAGATTCCTTCCAAGTTGACATGATAAATATTTTAGAAGTCAATTTTAATTCATCGAGAAATTGGCAATCCGTTTAGGATTGCTTTTAACGGAACGAACTTATTCTTTTCTTGAATCACGCATGTAGAATGCCGAGAAACATTTGAATTTTACACGCACGTTGAGATGCACGAAAATTTTGAACTATAAAATATCACAATAAAATTCGCAAATGCACAAAATTTAGACAAGAGAACATCAAATTCAAATCCAGGCATTTACTCCCGAGGCGTTTCCCAGAAACCAATCTTTGTCATCAAGAAATCGTGAAAACATAACAAATAAAAAAAGAAACTATATGATTTACTATCTTGGAGACAGATCACGATGAAGTGTGTGAAAGATCCATTCGTACTGTTTATATTTGTGAATTCACCTTATTAGAGTACAGCACCAATCATAGGGTGCTCAGAAGTTACTGAAATGAACACCAATTCGTGTTGCGTTGCGGGAATCGGCTATCGAAGAATAGTTTTGTTTAGGAAGAAAATGCGTACAAAAAGAAATTCTAATTACGTATTTCTTAAAGAAGTTTTCTATAGTTATTGATGTTTATTCACGTTAATATAATTTTCATTTTTTTAAGATTAATGGTTATGAATGCAGAGTATTTAATACTGTAATATAGCAGTTGTTCTACCACAAATATGAGCTATTCTCAGGAAGAAATAGAGAAGAAACGTTTATTGGCATTACAACGAAAGCAACAATCTCAGGTGAAAAACAATTTATCTAATGCTGGCCGAACACAGAGCAGCACACCTTCCACCAGTGTTATCAACAATGAAAACAAATCATTTAATACAAATAAATTGTTTCAACATGGAGGGAACAAGTTCTCTCAATTCAAATCAAAATTTCAAAATAATTCTTTTAACAATAATACAAAATTCAACAAACAAAAGGAACGCTTCAATCCTTTAGAAACGAAAAACTTTTTTGGACAAAAGGCACGCATAACTGGGAAATGCTATATGATAAGTGATGACAGGTTTATGTTAGAAACATCAACCTATTTTCCACCAGTCATTGAAGTATATAAAACAATTCCAAGTAAATGCTATGGTAATATCATTGATGCTATTGATCTTTATATATAAAATTGAACAATGTTAACACAAGTTAAATATACCTTTAATTCATTTCAGATATGAAAACTAAAGCTTGGAGTTTTAATATAAAAGATTATGAAGACTTAATGAAAAAACTAATTACATTTAAATCCGATATACAGATAGCAGGATTACCAAAAAAAGTTCTTCAGGTATTATATTTAAGTGTGAATAGAACTTACTGACGATTAATATTTCAAAATATTTCATAGGTATTTAGAAAAAATAACAACTCGGACAGATCTGTTGAAAACAT